GTAGTTGACCTCACTCTTCAGTTGCAGGGGCAGGAAATACCAAGGACAATCAATAATATCATCGAGGACACTCTTGGCACCGAGGACCTTGTTGCCTCGTGGGGCCTGAACTCTCCGTTTTTCTCCCCCTATGCCAGCGCCTCTGTGACAGAAATCAGGTTGGCAGACGAGACACCGGCTCCAAGTGATAATCCCACGGATGCTCTCAGTGCTCAGCCTTCTCTGGCTCCAAGTCTTATAGCATTGGAAAAGCCAACGAGTGCACCTGTCATTGAAGATATTGTCACCATCACCAAGGAACCAACAACCCTTCCTTCCGTCACTCCAACATTGACCACGTCAGAAAATCCAACTGTCGCTCCTGCCATTGGTCCCACAACAGAGGAACCCACCAGGCTGCCATCAATTATGCCGTCCAAGGCTCCTTCTGTTGCTCCCACGCCCCTTCCAACAGAAAGCCCAACAACAAAAGCGCCTACTCCTGAACCAAGTACCATGCCGAGTTCCCGTCCAACTTTTGAGCTCATGGAAGGGGACCATTTGCAGAATGAACACTATGTGCACTACATGCCTGATGATGGCAGTGATGCGTATCCGTATAATTCTCGAGAGGAAGCCCAAGATGCCTGTGAAACCAGAGGGCTTACACTTTGCAGCCAATCTGCTATTACGAATTTCCCTCTTTGTAAGATTGGATGGTTGACTGATGAGCGAGGCCTCTGGTCGATCGGAGAGGGTTGTGGATTCGGGGGTTTCACAGATGGCGGCTTTTTTGGAGTCTTTGGTGAAGGCGGGGCATATTGCTGTGGTCGACCATTGTATATGCCAAATGATATCCCAAGAGAGCAGTCGTACATCTACTCTACAAGGGAAGAAGGTTTGGCTGCATGTGAAACAAAAGGATTGGGGCTCTGTAGTAAAGAGCAAATCACAGGATACGAATTGTGCTCGTATGGATGGTTGACGGATGATGTCGGATTGTGGATGAGCGTTGGTGCACCTGGTGAGCTCTTGAATGGTCTTGTTTGCTGTTTTTTCTCAGATTGCACTGTTCTCAACATTTCATATTTGTTACGCAGGCTGTGGACCAGCCGGTTTTAGTGGGACGATCTTTCCCAACAACGGGGCTTACTGTTGTGTGGAGCCAGCACCGACTCTTGCACCGTCTACTGTGCCAACGTCCACACCCTCGGCTATACCAACTCCTCTGCCAACACCACCGCCAACACCACCACCCACTCCACTACCAAGTACCATGCCGAGTTCCCGTCCAACTTTTGAGCTCATGGAAGGGGACCATTTGCAAAACGAGCACTACGTGTACTACATGCCTGATGATGGCAGTGATGCGTATCCGTATAATTCTCGAGAGGAAGCCCAAGATGCCTGTGAAACCAAAGGGCTTACACTTTGCAGCCAATCTGCTATCACGAATTTCCCTCTTTGTAAGATTG